ACCTTGGTTGCGGGCACATCTCCAGCAGAGAGTGTGCAAGAGGCAGCTGATTGATGACTGTCTCTCATTGATGTTTCTAACTCGCTCTCTCCCTTCCTCTCTGTACAAAATCAATAAAATATATATTTTTTTAAAAAAAGGTGGGAGTATTGTGCTGATGGAAAAGACAATTACCTGTAGTAAAGTTAGTGTCCACAGGATTTGCTCCTCTGGTAAACTACAAATATGTGCAAATCTCTGTGTTATCCCTGCCATGACTTAGCCAGAGGGCTTTGCTGGTGAGATTTTTTTAAAAAGACACTAGCCCTAGCTGGTTTGGCTCAGTGGATAGAGCATTGGCCTGTTGGCTGAAGGGTTCTGGGTTCAATTCCGGTTGGGGCACATGCCTGGGTTGTGGGCTTGATTCCCAGTGGGGATATGTGTGCAGGAGGCAGCCAATCAATGGTTCTCTCTCATCATTGATGTTTCTATTACTCTCTCCTCCTCTGTTCCTCTCTGAAATCAATAAAGTATATTTAAAAAATAAAATAAAAGACATTAGACTGGAGAACCTCAGGATGGGTGAATTTGGGAAGCTTCTCTTCTGGAGAAGTCAGTCTTACAAAGTTTGTGACCATATGCCCTCCGGAGACCGCAGATTTTTCTAAAAATAAAAATTTTTTAAAAATCACATAAATAGATCTTTCCATTCAGAGTTGTACCCAGCCCTAGCCTGTTTGGGATATAGGCTGGGTCCCGGGTTCGATTCCAGCCAAGGGCACATGCCTGGATTGCAGGCTTCATCCCCAGTAGGGTGTGTGCAGGAGGCAACCAATCAATAACTCTTTCTCATCATTGATGTTTCTATCTCTCTCTTCCTCTCTGAATAAAGAAATGCATTTTTAAAAGAAGACTTGTACCCAGTAACCTGATGAATCTTGTAAAAGTTTTCGTATGTGAAATGTTGTGAGAAGTCCTTCTAAAATTCCCAAATAACAATTTCTAAACAGGAGACCCAGAAGTTAAAAACACAAAGTTTTCCCTCTTTTGTTGTTCTTCTTTTTAAAAAAATATATTTTATTTGTTTTTTACAGAGAAGAAGGGAGAGGGATAGTTAGAAACATCAATGAGAGAGAAACATTGATCAGCTGCCCAAAACCAATATACATGCCCTTGACCTGAATTGAACCTGGGACCCTTGAGACTGCAGGCTGGCACTTTAACTACTGAGCAAAACCAGCTAGTTCTTCTCTGTTCTTCTTTCCCAAATTTCTTAAATTGAGGAAATTGTTTTCAAAAAGCAACCATGTGTATTGTCATAACAGTACACACCATATTTATTAGACAATTAAGAAAAACAACGTTTGGCACAAGAATGCCAATTTATTCTTTTTTGGACACATACACACAAAATTTCCCTGCAAGCCCCCCCCCCCCCAATTTTTTTTTTTAAATAACCATCATCCTATCTCAACATGGGGCTATTACCCCTCCTTTAATAGTTTAGAAAGTACCTCGTATTGCTAGAGACTTACATCCAGTCCAAATTTAATAAAATACATTTTAAAACATTACAGATTCAACAGTATAAAAACAAAAATTAAACCATTAGTGAAATGAACAAATGAAAACATTTTCATCCACTAGACATAGAAAGAGCATGTGTATGTCAATAGCAAGGGATAAGGAAATGGTTTATCAATAAGAAGATCTTCCCTTTAATTTTACCAGGAAAAATTCTTGGAGTTGAAGTCATATTGATACAATGCCCCCAGCCTCCACTTTCTTAAAATGAAAGTAGAGTTACCACCTTGCTATTGAGCAAGGAAATCTTACAGCACATCCACAAAGGGTTGCTAGGGCAGGGAGGGGAGGGCGAACCTTGTTAAACAGTGAATTACCGTTCCTACAGGAAGGGTAGGTAGCTAAGCCAGGTAGCTAAGCTTTGATATAGGCTGGGCACCAGATCCTAAAATACAGACCATATAGTATATGTCTGCTTGTAAATCATCTCCTTTGGAAGCAGCAAATATAATTTACAGTAAAAAAATGAGTATGTTCTGCCTGCCTAGAACTAGCTGCATTTAGCCAGCTAGTTCTCGTTATAAGTCGCTCAGGGTTCAACAACTAACAACAACAAAACATAACTGGTTCAGCATTGGGATCTTCCCCACTCTTAATGTACCCCACACCTTGTCCCCAAATTGTTACTCTTTAGCATTGTTACATTTAAATCTTTCACACTACAGGACAGTGCCTAAACAGGCTGCTTTTGAATAAAAACAACTAAGCACCCTACTTCTAGAGAATGCACACCTCCCATTGATTGACACATGCATAACAACAATTCAGTCAGTCCAGAGGGTTACAAATTCAAATTGTCAAGCCTAATTAAAACTATGCATCCAGACTTGCTTGCAATAGTATTGCTGCAACTCTGATTCTGCAGTGATTGCTTCTTAAAGATTCACCCCTTAGCAAGTCCTCCCTCCCCCGCCCCAAATAATCCCAGTTCTTCCATATTTCTTTCCTTTTATCCAAAATTACAGACAGCCTTGCACCATTAAAGGTACTGGTTTCCTATAAAAATAGGCCTCCCGGCTTTTCCCCCACCACCACACTCATTTGCCCCAGTGTGCTAGAACTGATTGAGGTCGTACAAACTGCAGAGTTCAAGGTTGAGCATATAGGCCAACTGCAGGCAAGTGAATCAGGGCTTCCAGGCCCTCTGCCTTGCTCCCTGTTCCATTCATGCCAGGAGATGGTGACAAGTGGCGCTTCTTCTGTGCATTAACAAGCATGCCCGAGGCACTCAAGTGCAGGTGTGGTGCCTGCTGGCCAGCCAGCCAGCCACCAAGAGTTCTTCACGTGCTGGATTTCAGCGAGTCCTTTTCCAAACAAGATTGGTTTTCCTCCTCTTGGGTCCAGGGTGGCCATGCTGAAGGGTATATTTTGTGCTCTCCCTGATCACACGTGAATAAAAGCAGAAGACAGTCCCTCACCAACATGTCCTGATTTGTAGAATCCAAGTGAGGTATTTGCAAAAAAGAAAAATCTTAAGAAATTAACATCTCCCATCTCGTTACTACGTTGTGCCTCAATTACAGAGCTTGCCTTCATCTCACTATATGCAGAGAATTAAGATGTCTGCACCCATCTTAAAGAGCTACAGGACTTAATATACATTACCAAAGTCTTAGAGACCAGTCCCAGCAAAAAGTGCCGCTGATCGACGGCACACAGAAATGTAAACTTCAAAGTATGTACAAGCTTGTTTAAAAGACTGAAGAAAAACAGGGCTTTATATTGCTGGGATTTTGAGAAGGCTAGTTTAAAAGATTTGGACCGGCTAATGAGTTCAAGCAAACACCCTTCACTATCAGATCCAGTGTTTCCAAACTGAAGTGGCAAATTCAGTTTACCACATTGTATCTACCTCTTTTCGCCAGCACCTTCCTCATCCATGGGGAGTGTGGCTCTGGGCCTTTTATCGCCTTTTCCAGTTCTCACTCCTGAGGTTCCAGGATAGAGAATTACAAGTCAGTGAAATCTGGGCTGGGCAACACTGGCTGGAACTACCAAGACTCTATGTAACTGTTGTCCATTCACAAAATATTATCTACACTAAATACAAAATACATTTTCCCCTACTTTGTAACTGATGCTTGCTTTAGATTAATTCCCTTTGAACAAGAAAAGAATCCTGCCTCCCTGTGAATGGAATCCAGAATCTATTATATTAAGAAAAATCTTTGTATGCAGTTTTACTTGACTCAAAGGAAGGAAACTTCACCAAGAACATTTCAGGGGAAAAAATGTAATGTTAGTACATTTTGTAAGTTGCAGCATCACTCAATGGACCTTAAAGACTGGCAAAACCTATTCAGTAGGAAGCATCCTGGTTCTAGCTTATTTTAAAACAAAGTGACAGGACACCAACTATGATATAAAAGAGATAAAAAATAATTCCTTAAAAAGTCATGGAAATATCTATTTTCTGACTGATTGCAGGAATTGCCAGATTATGATCTATAAGAAATAGCTGATAAAAATCATACCAAAATTTCATCTAGAAAAACTCATTGTCAGTGCGGGTAGGGGAAGTGAAGGACCTTAAAAAACGTTTATTGCCAAAGTTAACTTTTTGTGAGAAGAGTTTAAAAGTCATTTAGATCTGACACACCAGACAGCAGCATAAAATGGGCACTTTTGCAAAGTTTGAAAAATTCTAAAACCTAATTTTTTTTCCAAAGGGGGGGAGGAACATGGGTACTTTTTATTATGGCAGTGTTATCTGTTACTGTGACATGTACTACATCTGTTTGTATTACACATTCACAAGAGTCACCCAGATAAGAGAACTGCCTATTTGAAACTGGGGCCAAATATAGTGCAATTGCCCGGCAGCAGCCTGTACTTGCACCAGCATAAGTCTGTATAGATCAGTAAGATAAAGTAGTAAAACTAATCAAACTCTTAAAACTTGAAAAAAAAAAATCACTGCTCGTTAAAGGCATTTACAGTGGCGAAATCGGAAATCTCCATTAAAAAGTCTATGGACCCACACAGTTAAGTAGTTATGCTAAACTGAAGTAGACTGGATTTCCTCTCCCACTGATACATACAGCCCACTTGATGAGTACAGAAAAAAGGAACAATCTTCTCTCACAAGACAAGAGGGATGCGGTGAACACCACAGCTAACAAAATATTCCATAGAAACCCTTCTTGTAAAGTCCTTTAGAAAGTTCAGGCTGAGCAGCCTTTGCATGTTGAGGTAAAAAATTCGGTCCAGTGCATTGGAAAAAGATAATCTATGAGTATCTATTACTTTTTAAAAAAATGGCTCAATTTTGTTGACGCATCAGACAGTGCTGCGAAGTATTTATTCAGTGCAACTATTCTGAGCTGCTGGTAGAAGACAAACTGAAGTCAGCTTGGCTCTCGCTAGTATGCTGGTAGGCGTGTGAAACATTTTGAGGCTGCACGGGGTGCCAAATTGGTTGAGTTCTTCTGAGACTCTCAGGCAAAATACATTGTGTGCTGGGTATCGTGGTGGATTTGCACAGCTTTGGCCAAGGCTTGAGGATCTCGGCCATTGCTCTGTCCTGACACGTGACTGCCTTCTGCACTGTAAAGAGAATAAAGCAAACAAACAAAAAATAGGTGTAACAAAGGACCATGTCAAACTTCACATGTTTCAAACTTCACATGTTCACACTATTAGATTCGAGATCTTAGGCCCAAGCTGTGGTTCCTATGTCTCTCTACACATCAGTTTGCTTAACTGAAAAATGCAACACAACTCATTTATTGTAACAATTAAATAATATCTGCAAAACCCAAATCCTTAATGGTGTCTCCATAAGGACTTCTATGGGCCATTATGTCTGGTCAATGCCTACTTGCCTTTAGGCTTTAGTCAAATGTCCTTTTCCCAAAAGACATTGACCTTGACTCCAAAGTTCAGCTCAGAGCCACCTAGAACATAGTTCCACAGAACCCTCTACATTCTTTCATTTGAAAGAAACACAATTAACATTAAGTTAGTAATTGGATAATTATTTCTTTTCCCTCTGGGACATAAACTCCAAGAATGCAGCAACTTTGTCTATCTTCCTCACCACCGAATCTATAGTGCCTGGCACATAGTAGATATTCAGCAAATGTGATCATGACACCAGTTTCTTCTTGTCTTCCTCCCCACTAGCTATATGACCTTGCACAGGTAGCAGCCCCTTTGTACTTTGGTCTTTTAGGATAACAATAAGAATGTCTGAACAAACCTCTTAGAGTACCATGTGCTATAAATGGCTTGGTCAACTGTAAACCACCACCCCTCCTCTGACTTCTCTCACCCACTCACACCCAATTAACTGTTAATCCTGTCTAGTTATCCCAGTAATAGCTTTTTACATTTAACAAAGACAATCTTGTTCTAACGTACTTTTCCAGCTTTGTGCCTGCTGGTCTCCTTTCATATGTTCCAGCCAAAGAAAACTTGCTATTGTCCAAACATGTCACTTCCTTTCTCTCCTTTGTGCTCATTGATCCCTCTGCCTGGAAAATCCTTTCCTCTTCTTTATTGAGCCAAATCCTACCCATCAGCTATGAAATCTTCTCAAACAGCTTTTCCTCTGATGCCCCACTGCGCATTTGCCTATACTGCTTTTGGGTGAATTGTCAGTTCTGTTTACCCGTATTATCTCCCATAATGAAACATAAATCCCAGGAAACATGCCTTCCTCATCTTAGCATTTTTAGCACTTCACACAGTGCTGGGCACACATGAACGTGTTGAATGAATGAAAGTATATCACAGAATGGAAGGTACAAAGTCATAGCTTGGCATTTTCCATAATGGTGTATTTTCAACCCTCACAGAAATAGATTTGCAGTGGAATGTGTACTATTTAGCAGCTGAATTCAGACTTGGGGAAGAGCCCAGAAACTGCTACACTTCACAGATGGTCATTTGGAAAAAGAAAATTACTGCAGGGAGCTTGTTTAGCTATTTAATAGTAGCTCAGTAATAGGTCAAAATGTCTGATTCTCTTGAGATCCCTATTTGGGGGCAAGAATGATATGATACACCTCCCCTCCCACGTAAAACCCCAGGTTCACTCCAATGCATTCTCCCAGTGAACTATGAAAGCAAAATGGACTGTTAAGTCTTCCCCTTGTATAAAGTGGAATCCACAGGCCTGTGACTCTTCTGATTGGAGCCAGGGTACTGTGCTGGCCACCATCTGAGGCTGCCCAGGACCTGAGCAGAACTGAAATGCATTTGGCTCTATTGGAAAACCACAGGGAACTTCAAATTAGATTCTTTTCCTTGGGCAGACTTTAGACACACCATACAAGTAAGTATAAACAGCCTGAGCACTTGGACCAAAATCACATTATAAACCCTCAAAGGCATATGCAATTTTATTCACTGCTTGCTATTTAAACCTTAAAAGGAAGACTAACTCCTCTAAAAATTTTTCTGCAGCAGCTCACTTAAAAAGTTTTCTTTTTGTTAATCCTCACCTGAGGACATTTTCCACTGATTTTTTTTTAAAAGAGAGTGGAAGGGAAGGGGAGAGACAAAGTGAGAGAGATACATTGATTGGTTTCCTCCTGAAGGTGCAAGCGAGGTTCTTGCCGTTGATCAGAATTGATCCCGTGACCCTTCAGTCCACGGGCTGACGCTCTATCCATTGAACCAAACCGGCTAGGGCACCGCTCATTTTTTTTAAAACATGCTGCTAACACAGACAGAAAGAGATTTTCTTATGCCTGATAAACTTGCCTGTCATGATCTTTATCCACCAGATGATACCTTGCTCGGAATGCTACAAGCCGGGCATAGTACGCAGGGGCTGGAATAGAGACTGAGCGTGTGCACCGCACATAGGTGTGGCATAGCTGGTAAGTCAGTAGCTGGAGCTCGTCTGCAGTGAAGCAGTTGTCATCCCACAAGACCTGGTAATGTGAAGGACGACTGGTTCCCTGGAGAGAGAGTTTTCTGATGAATACATTTCTGATATTGGTTGACTACTTGGGAGAAGAACTGAAATCTACTCCTTAAACTCAGAAGTTTTCCTGCCTAGCACACCTACAAGCAGATACCTAGACCAAAAGATAATAGTTCTAGGATACAAGCATTAACAAAGTTATACACAGTGTATAGTAACAAGTCTACTCAGGCTAGTTGCTGAGTTTGCAAACATCTCCCTATCAAGTGAAAGATCTGAACCAGTTTCCAAATTACCTGAATTCCTGCGTGACTACAGAGGTAAAAGTCAAACTCCGATGGATGTGTGATGGTGCTATCCACGGTAGTGCCTGCTGGTACATTGCCACTTTTACCCACCTATAAAAAAAAAGTGTAATTAGTCACCAATAGGCCAACCTGAGCTTAGGTCATTTTTTTCTTTTATGTTAATTGGCAACAAGTTATAAGTTGCTCTTGCAAACAGATTTAATTCAAGATGTTGAACTTTCTCTTAGCCCAACCATTTCATCCATAAGTATTTTCTCAAATATACTCCATGGTTTCTCTAGGAAGGTCCAGATAAGTAATTATTTTATTAGTGGCTTTGGGCTAAATGATTGTCCTCTATTAACAGATGACACATTGGTGTGTTCATGGATGAAAAGAAAAAAAGATGGGTAAGATTCCTGAGAAAAATCACTTTTATTCTTTATTTGGAATTTTAAAAAATCCACAACTTGTAGTAAAAGTTAAGATGAAGCAATTTGTTGTTGTTGTTAATCCTCACCCCAGAATATTTTTCCATTGATTTTTAGAGAGAGTGAAAGGGAGAGGGAGAGTCAGAGAAACATCAATGTGAGAGAGAGACATCGATTGGTTGCCTCCCATTCATGCCCTAACCAGGGTGGGGGGTTTAAGCTGCCACAGAGATACATGCCCTTGACCAGAATCGAACCCAGTACCTTCAGTCCACAGACCTATGTTCTATCCACTGAGCCAAACTGACTATGGCAAGATGAAGAAATCTTTGAACTGGTTTAATAAAACTAACACTTTTAGGGGATCAATAAAAGAAGACACTGGCAGATGCCTTATTAGGAAGTCCACTGAAATGGGATCAGGAAACCAGAGTTTCAGATCTAGGCCTAGTGTTGCAACTCCATACCTTGAACAAAGTATATTGCTGGGCCTCAATCTAGTCAGCTATGAAATCCAGTAATAATATCTTATACTTTAAAAATTCCAAAGTTCTTCTATGGTCAAAACTCTAGGATCAAACTTCTAGAAAAGAGGGAGAACCTTAGAAATGGATTTACAAGGAAAGAGATTAAATCTTGCTATTTGGACAATTTTCGTCCTCTTCTGCTATATAGCAGGGTTCCATGTGAGAAACTTGATTTGTCACTTATGCACAAATTTAATGGGAGTTTATCTGGCTCCATTCTACCTGTGGTTATTTTCAGCTGAGGATCATACACCAATGCATACAAGTACATCTGTGAGTATAGAAAAGTCTTATTCCATCAAATTCAGATGCGTACTCAGGTCCTAACTGAACAAGAGGAAATGTAACTTAGTTAAAATAGTTCTAGCACTGCTTACCAAAGTACAATCTTTAGGAACATTAGTTCTGCAGAATGCATTTGGGTGTGTTATGGTCAAACAAATTTGCAAAATACTGAATTAATCAAAATTTAAATGGTTTTTCCACTGCAGGACTTCTCATAATCTTTACTTAATAAGGTAAAATCTTAAAGAGGGAGATGCAGTATATGGCATTTCCCAAACTTATTGGACCATAGAATCTATTTTTTAAAAAATCTCTTGGACTCCAGAGATGAGAGCCTAAGGAGGTGATGAGAGCCTAAGGTGGGGAAAAGGGGATCCAGGCATGTTCAATTCAACAATTACTGCTTGAGCACCCATGTGCAAGGCTCTGCAGCAAATGTTTAGGAGGAGCCGAAACCGGTTTGGCTCAATGGATAGAGCGTTGGCTTGGGGACTGAAGGGTCCCAGGTTCGATTCCGGTCAAGGGCATGTACCTTGGTTGCGGGCATATCCCCAGTAGGGGTGTACAAGAAGCAGCTGATCGATGACTCTCTCTCATTGATGTTTCTAACTCTCTATCTCTCTCCCTTCCTCTCTGTACAAAATCAATAAAATATATTTATAAAAAAAATGTTTGGAAGGAAAGACAGAGGCACAAAGAGAACTAATGAACATGGCTTCCTGCCCTTCATGGAAACGATATACAGTGCACTGCAAAGCAATGTATAAAGGGCACTATGGAAGGCCCTGGGAAAAGCTGGTGAGAGGAAATAGGAGAGTCATGCTACAGGATAAGCAGCAGCTGAAAGGGGGCCTTGGGACGAAAACAGGAAACTCTCCAAATGTCCCCTCAATACAGAAATAAATAAACAAACGGTGGCTCATCCATATCATGAAATACTACTCAGCAATAGAAAGAAACAAACTATTGATACACACGAAAACTTGGGTGAATCTCAAGTGCATTAGGCTAAGTAAAAGAAGCCCAACTCAAAAGCTATGGGAATCCATTTATATGACAATGGGAGGGGGTGGGGGGGGGGGAGAGAAATAACTATAGGGACATAACAGTGGTTGCCAGGGACTGTAGGCAAAGAAAAGGGTTGACTATGAAAGGACGTAAGAGATTTTTGTGTGTGTGACTGTTCGATATCTTTTTCTGAGGTGATGGTTATACAACTACATGCATTTGTTAAAACTTACAAAACAGTATATTAAAAAGGGAAAAATTTACTATTTCTATATCATACCTTTATATATATATATATATATATATATATATATATATATATATATATATATTATGCTAAGTGTCCGACCATCCAACCGGTTGCTATGATGTGCATTCACCACCAGGGGGCAGACGCTTAACACAGGAGCTGCCAAGTTATACTGACTTGGCAGTAGTAGTTCTTACATGACTCACCCCAAAACCAGAGGGGAGGGAGCCAATTCCTTGCAGGGCCATGCGATTCTACCTTCGTCTGTGGGTTATGTTGTTGCTGGGGCACTGTTGACCCCAAATCTGGTTTACTACACCCTTGCGTTCCACACCCTGTAGGACAGCAACTTTGCAGAATGCTCTCTCGCACTCTGGGATCCCTTGGGGGGTGTTGGAGAGCCGTTTTGGCCCAATCCCTGCTCACTCCACAGATACAGGAGAGGGACTGCAGGAGGTTGGCTCCAGGGTGTGACTGGCCCATCTCACCCAGTCCTGCCCCGCCGGCCACCTTCTAATTAATTTCCTTTCAATGTGCATGAATCCGTGCACTGGATCATTAGTTTTTTAATGGAAAAAGGGGGGGGGGGCTGTTGGATGGATGTGGTCATGTCAGGGATAAAAATGTACAATGTATATGGGAAATGGAAGGTATATAAGGGTATGATGAAAGATGAGACTAAAATGTTATGTTCTGGCTAACTGAACAGCACAGGAGAACATTCGGTAGGCAGTGGATCGGAAAAGTTTTGAGCAGTGGATAAGATTTGTATCTTAAAACCTAGCCTTGAAAGCAGCTAGAGGATACATTTGTGGAGAAATGGAGACAGAAACCACTAGGAATCTCCTGCAATACAGAAGAAGTCTGCCTAGAGTAGAAGGAACACACAAGAGAAAGAACTGGGAGGAGAGGTTTCAGGGCAGAGCAGAGGACTACTTGACTAACTGGATTTAGGGGGACAGGAAAGGAGGAGAAGAGTTTAAAGACAATTCTGAAATTTCTAGCTTGGCTGACTTAATATACAGTTATGCCAAGTAACACAAGAGAAAAAAATTGGGGGAAGCACAAGCTTTGGATGAGGATAAAACAGTAAGTAAAAGGTTTAGACCTGTTTTGCTAGAAATGCCTGTGGCAGATTGTATCACTGGTGCCAAATCTTCCTATGCCCCTCCCTAGGGAAGGATTATACCTCCCCACCCGATTAACTCAGGAGTGGCCAAGTAACTGGCTTTGGCAGAATAAAATGTGGCCTGAAATGTGTTACTTCTGGGCAGACTCTTTAAGAGCCAGCACATGGCTTGTCATGTATCTCCTTGAGCCCACCTCTCACCTCCCCTCACCCCCCCCCCTCACCTCTCCTCCCTCCCCCTCCCTCCACCCACCCACTACAATGACTGGCAATGTTCCAGACATGTTTCTCTGTCAGCCTAGGTTCTGAAGGGAGGACAATGGGGTCACAGCTGCTTGCTACAGAATCACAATGAATGTGTAACATGAGCAAGAAATAAATCTTTGTAAGCCATCAGGACTTTGGAGTTTTTTGCATGGCCTAGCTTATCTTGACTGACACTATGCCTATAGGGCATCTAAGTAAATCTATCTGATAGATAACTGGAAGTGTCAGTTGGGAGCTCCATAGAAAAGTTTGGGGCTGGAAACACAGCTTCAGGAAACAACGATAAGCAAATGAGTGAACCCAGAGAAGTGAGTAAGACTAAAGAGAGTTGAAATTGAGAAGAAGTGTGAAATGCCAGGAAACATCAGCATTTGATGGACGGAGGAGGTAGAAGAGTCAAAGAAAGCCTACTGAGAGATGGGTAGTGAACCTGGCCAAAGAAGGCAATAATTGTCAGTGCTGCAAAGAGGTCAGTGTGAGAACCTGACAGGATATCACTGCATTTAAAATGAGCAAGTTATGAAGAGAACAACCTCAGTGGAGTCACTGAAGTTGAAGCCAAGGTACAGGGAACTGAAGTATGACGTGAGGAGGTACCGATAGAAAGGCAAATCTTTTTGTCGGAAAAGTTGGTCATGAAATGAAGGAAAGGTAAGGTGGCAGGTAGACTGAGGGAGAAGCAGAGAGAAGTTTCTTTGAGTGACTAAGGAAAAGTTGAGAAAGTTTAGAGGGTGAGGAGAAGGAAGTAAACTAATGGGAAAGATTAAACTTTTGAAAAATAAAGGGTGATTAATAGAGTGAGGCTGGAGAGAGCAGAGGATTAGGAACAAAAGCATAAGCATAATAAAAAAAATTTAGGTGGAGAGATTACCTTTTAAATGTGAGGAAGGAGGTAAGATGTGAGGAAGGATTATAATCCATAATAGAAAATTTAACTAAATTTGAAAGTAGAGGAAGGAATGCCAAGAAAATGCCTTCTAGGTATTTATTTTCTGAGGGAAATACGAGATTGTTCTATCGTGAGTAATACAAATTGTTGGCAATAAAGGGACCGGTTTGGCTCAATGGATAGAGCATCGGCTTGAGGACTGAAGGGTCCCGGGTTCGATTCTGGTCAAGGGCATGTACCTTGGTTGCGGGCATATCCCCAGTAGGGGGTGTGCAAGAGGCAGCTGATCGATGACTCTCTCATCGATGTTTCTAACTCTCTATCTTTCTCCCTTCCTCTCTATACAAAATCAATAAAATATATTTAAAAAAAAATAAAATAAAGGGTAGGAGAGCTGAGAAGAGCCCAAAAGTTTTGGAGCAGATACAATGGGGAATAAAATAATTGAAAAAATTGCAGCCTCAAAGGCCTGGCTGAGATGTGCTACTATGAATTTGCATAATACACATCATTATTAAACAATTGACTCTTTTCTTTGGCAATCTCCATCAGCCTAAGAGTAGAAGCAAAGAAAATGGGCAAGTGGACTGGTTCAGAGCCGGAGATTAGTGAGAGGCCTGTTCAGAGGAGTGAAGATGTTGATAAGGTGAGGGATGCCAAGTAGACTTAGGACTGGAATTGTCAATCTTGAAAGGTTATGAGTGACACTGGATAGTAAAGAGCAAACCTGTCACATTGCTTGGGGTTTCAGAAAGATAATCCAAGTCCAAAAGCTACTTGACAGAGGGTGAAAAGCAAGTTGATAGCAAGTTGACAGAGGGTGATAGCAAGTTGACAGAGGGTGAAAAGGTGATAATTCAGTTAAGAAGAAGTTGGCAGGATGTGCCTAGAACTTGGGCAAGCATTCAAGGAATCTGTATTAGCAGAATCTAAGAAGTACTACTGAGTCAAGGTTTGGGCAATGGAGCCCCAAGGAGAAAACCTTAGTTCTCTAATGATTTAGAAAGCACAAACAGCCTTGGATTAAAGGCAAAAACTGCCGAAACTGATTTGGCTCAGTGGATAGAGTGTTGGCCTGTGGATTCAAGGGTCCCGGGTTCTATTCCGGTCATGGCATGTACTTTGGTTGCAGGCACATCCCCAGTAGGGGGCATGCAAAAGGCAGCTGATTGATGATTCTCTCATCGATGTTTCTAACTATCTCTCTCCCTTCCTCTCTATAAAAAATCAATAAAATATATTTAAAAAAAAAATAAAGGCAAAAACTAAGGCCATACTAGAAAACAGTGCAAGTGACCCACAAGATTACATAATTAGGCAGCAGAGAGAACTGGTCTCCCTGGGGTTGGATCAGGGAGGACCTGGAAAAGATGAAGTAGTGTCATAAAAATATTGCAGAAGCAAAGTCACCAAAATCAGGTGCTTACCTGGCTTACACATAAAGATAAGATCATAAATAGATACATTACACAAAATGCCTTTAGTCAAGTGTTGGGAACTGTACCACAAATCAACATCATTTATTAATTTAATCATTACAACAACCCTGTGATATAGGTATTGTTCTTCTCTTTAAATATATTTTTATTGATTTTAGAGAGAAAGGGAGAGGGAGAGGGAGAGAGAGAGATAGGAACATTAATTATTGATCGGCTGCCTCCTGAATGTCCCACACTGGGGATCAAACTCACAATCCGGGCATATGCCCTGACCAGGAATGAAACCGTGACCTCCAGGTTCAAAGGTCCATGGTCAACCACTGAGCTATGTCGGCTGGACCAGGCATTGTTCTTAATAAATTTTACAGTTGAGAACATTATGGCTTAGAGAAGTTAAGTAACCTGCCCATTGTTAGTATGGACATCATAAATATTCAAAGTTTGTACCCTAAGAATCCCCTACAGCCGAGACCAGTTTGGCTCAATGGATGGAGCGTCGGCCTGTGGACTGAAAGGTCCCGGGTTCGATTCTGGTCAGGGGCATGTGCCTTGGCTGCGGGCACGTCTCCAGTGGGGGGTCAGGAGGCAGCTGGTCGATGATTCTCTCTCATCGATGTTTCTAACTCTTTATCCCTCTCTCTTCCTCTCTGTAAGAAAATCAATAAAATATATTTAAAAAAAAAAAAATCCCCTACAATGATATAAAATCATTTAGAAGAGAAATTCTTCTTTGTACCCTGGAACCATGCCTCAGGCACTGGCAGCAATAGGTAGCAAATGGAAATCAAGTCCAGATGGATCAACCTGCCCTTTGAAGGTTTGCCTTTATCACCCTAATGGACCCTGCATGTTTCTGACCTCCCTTCTAAAAACTCTACAAACAAGAAATATATTCAGTCTTAAAACCTATAACATTCAGCATTGGTCATCAAAGATGAGCTATAATTAGTACATTTATTAAGTTATTACGAAACTCTTCTCCTTTTAGAAAAAAAATGGTCTGGATGTTCACTCAAAAAACACATTTACTTGTATCAGATAGTAAAGTTTATCCTATGTTTTCTTACCCTTTCTGCTTTCTCCGCACAGAAGAGTCGTGTATGATGTCTTTTCTGTACCACAATGTAAGTTATTCCTGGCCGGTAATCTTCTTCCAAGCTAATACATGCCTTTCGAATTGCTATTAGTTCTGGCCAAGCTACCTGGGAGTTACAAATGGAATGACACTGAATTGAGAACTCACCTAGTATCTCTCAGGTCTGATTTACTCAGAGTGGCAGATGAAAGGGGGCCCGGTACTACACCTACAAGCCCCAAAGGCAAGTATGGGATAATGAGAGTACCTGCTTCATTTGTCCCTCAGATACCCCTCCACGGTAATAGATGATCCGTGTAGGTTTGAAGCGTGTGGACTTGTAGAACTGGATCAGCAGCTCTCGAACCATGGTAGTGAGGTCATGGATCACCTCCTGACTATAGAGGAGCTCCTGGGAGACCTCTTGGCGGGAGGTCTGCACCCGAACAGTGGCACAGTACCGGCTGGGGTGGCCATCCATACTGCCAACGACAGCAGCAATGGAAGGCTTCTTCCCATCCCCTGCAGGGGGGTGGGTGACATCTGCTCCCAGGAAGATGACAGGCTGCTGGAACACCGATGGCCTGCTCAGATTTAAAGACACATTGCCACTCAGATATACAGGTGAAAATGTTTGGGTTTAGCAAGCTCACCAATATAATCACAGATATCCTATATAATAAAAGATAATATGTAAATCGACCAAACAGTGGAACCACAGGTCACTATGATATGCACTGACCTTCAGGGGGCAGATGCTCAATGCAGAAGCTGCCCCTTGGTGATCAGTGCGCTCCCACAAGGAGAGCGCTGCTTAACCAGAAGCCCTGAGCTGGGCTCACAACTGGTGAGTGCAGTGGTGGTGGTGGGAGCATCTCCTGCTTCCAATGCAGCACTAAGAATGTCTGACTGATGGCTTAGGCTCGCTCCCCAAGAGGGTGCAGGCCGGGACACCTGTCCCCTGAGTGCATGAATTGTGTGCACCAGGCCTCTAGAATTCTAATAAGAGAGAATAAAGACTTATGCCCACTGGAAGAGAACTCTAAGGCCCACTGAGTACCAGTACCACCCAGTACAGTGAATCTGAATTGACTGCAGAAATCAACATGGTTCTTCTATCACAGTAAGAAGGAAAGAATTAAAAGAGGACCCATGCCCTGGCTGATGTGGCTCAGTGGTAGAGTGTTGGCCTGAGGATGGAAGGCTCACAGGTTGTATTCTCCAGCAAAGGCACATACCTGGGTTGCAGGTTCAATCCCTGCAGAAGGCAACCAATCAATGTGTCTTTCTCACATCGATGCTTCTCTTTCTCTCCTCTCTTCCCCTCCCTCACACTTTCCCCTTCTCTTTAATAATCAATGGGAAAAATATTCTCAGGTGAGGATTAACAAAACAAAACAAAAAAACAAAAAAAAGAAAGAAAGAAAAGAATTAACCAAATGAGTGTATAAATAAGTAGAGCAACAAATCAATGTCTCCTCTTCCTCTTTTCCCCCTTCTTCTCTCTCTAAAATACATACATACATACATACATAAATAAGTTTAAAAAATAATTATAAAAAGAAAAAGCAATCGAGATGCATATTTGAGATTTGTACGTTTTGCTGTAAACTAAATGCTAGATCTTAATTTTAAAAAGTGGGAAAAAGTAGGGTTCAGAATCTTACCTTTGATGAGGTACAAGCACGTTGTTAATTCCTCCCAGCTTTGCATTTATCTTCAGGCAAAGGTTGGAAAGGGTCTGGGGTGAGGTCTTCACTACATTCTTTACCTGGACACACTGTGTGGCCATACCCAGGAGGGTATCTCCAACACGTTTCACCTCCGCTAAAAAAATAAGTTAATTAATTGATTTTTTAAAATGTTTAAGTATTCTGTCAATTACTAAGAGTAAAGGGGGAAAATCCACACCCTGACATTTAGAGGGTGCCTGCTACATACTGTACATTGTGCTAGATACTTTTCATGTGTGGTGTTTTCATTTGCTAACCCCCCAGGGCAATATTTCTTTTCAGTTTGTGTAGGCCATTCCCCACCCCTTTTCTTCACTCCCAAAGGCTTTTAAACTAGCCTACTTTCTTTATTCTACGATGCTGCCTGCCACCACTCAGTCCTGTGAGGTTCCTTTTCCCACAGGACTAACCTGACAAAGGAATCAATCTCCCTAGCTCCTCCCTCTCACTATACACATATCAGCCCTTTGAATTTTTTTCTCCTCTATCCCAATATCTCCCCTATTCCTCCCCTCCCCAAAACATTAGAAAAAAACTGAAGGTAACAAAAGAAACTAATTTGAAGACATTTTATAAAGTTCAAACAGCTGGTCTATAGTTCCCAAATCCTTTACTTAGATAATAGCCAAAAAGACTTTATATCATTCTTCTTTTCTTTAAATATATTTTTATTTATTTTTACAGAGAGGAAAGGAGAGGGATAGAAAGTCTGAAACACCGATGAGAGAGAATCATCGATCAGCTGCCTCTTGCACACCTCCCACTGGGGATGTGCCTGCAACCCAGGTACATGCCCTTGACCGGAATCAAACCCGGGACCTTCCAGTCCACAGGCTGACGCTCTAACCACCAAGCCAAACCGGTTTTGGCTACATCATTCTTCTTATAACAAATACAAACTAAACACCTCCTCTTTCCCATTCTGATATTCCTGTTTTTAACCAAATTCCAGTTCTTCCTGCTTTGGGGCTAAGATAGAATTTCACTGCATGTCCCAGCCCACTGCATTTCCTGGCCCCATTCCCATTTGCCTCACACAGGTTGGGTGGGCCAACACAGCTGGTTGTGGCCAAGAAGTTGCAGATGTTAAGAACCCTCTAGAGCTCTCTTTTCTCTCTGCCATGGAGCCAGCAACATTACATACGGTGACTGCTCTGCCAACCTGGGTTCCAGAGTGAAAATGATATGATGGTATGGAGCCACAGCTGCAGTCTATTCTCAATGATCACACAGCAGCAGCAAAAAGCAAACCTTTGCTGCTTGGAGACCCTGCAAGTCCAGGGTTGTTTGTACCTGAAGCATAACCTAGCTTATCCTGTGTGTTACACCTACTATTGAAATCATCCCTCATTCAGCATTAAAGGAATCCATACCATATACTGGCGTCTTCCCAGGCAAGATCACCACTATTAGCTGTAGGCCCACATATGTCATTTTTAGATGTTTAAACATGGGCTCCACGCTGTCTGCACCTTGTGCATACTTGCAGAAACATGGCTGACCCTGGATGGGCATTCCTGCATCCTTAGAGATTTTACGGAGCTGGTCAGTGAAACTCCTGTTAAAACAGAACCAGTGGCACAGTGCTTTCATTTCAGAGTACATTTTTAACATCTATTTCCCTCTATGATACTTCTTTCAGTTCTGCAAATTCTTAGCCAAAATGAGATATAAATAAATAAACAACAACAAAAATCTTTAGCTTGTTGCAAAAAATAGACTGGCAGTTGTATTGTTAAGCTATCAGATTATCATTTTGCAATGCAGAAGAATCTGTATTATTAAACTATCAGATTATCATTTTGAATTTGTAAATAATTATGCCTCTGTTAGGCCTCAGGGACTAGAATAACATTCCTGCCCAAAGATTTTTTTTTTTTTTTTAAACATTCCAGTCAGTAATTTTGGACTGAAGAAAAGCAAAGCCAAAATTTCAGGTAATGTGTATTTTGGTAAGCCTGCTAAGAGAATAGTTGAGTAAGCTTTTGTAAGCTTGTATTCCATTCAGATCACAGATACACGCTGTTACACAATCAGTGCATTTAGATCTACATTCAAACTAGTAACAGACTGAATCAATACAATATCAAAAGAGATCATCACTTCAGAAAAGAAAAACTTATGAAATTTTAAACTTTAGAATTAAGAAATTACTTTATGTATAAAGTTTTCAGAATAATTTCTTTTGTGCAATATTTGCCAATATTCTGTAGGATTCCTTTCTTCCATCCCAGTTCCCTTTTCCTACCTTGATTTTTCCACCCTTCTCTCTAACTTCCTTTATACCAATACCTGAATGTGTATGACATGAACCAGAGGTCTGAGTCAGTGACCCTTCAGTAAAACATGCTTGCTAGTAAATCAGAATGATTCAAAATGAACTCATTTTTATCTTAGCTGAAAAGATACAATTAATACCAAAGGAAGCTTCACTAAGAACCCAAGAATTTGCCAACCGGCACTACTTCAACCTTGTTAGTCAAAAATTTCTGCTCTAAATGTAAGAAAGCTGAGTCAGATTCTTAATGCAATTCCCAAATTGGCCATTTACTATAGTATAAGGTGTTTTTCCTATAGCCAGATGATGCCACTATAAGAGGCAGGGATTTAGTGCCAGTGCATACAGCACATTCACAGAAAGATGGTGTTTTCATTATCTGGAAGGGATATTACTAAGCTGAAAATATGAAGATACTCACTTTAGTAAATCTTCCCTACATTGTTTCTGAGGCGCAAAACAAGCAACTGCCCAAACTTTAATTTCAATGCCAGCATAAAACTGCTTTCCTCGCATGTCCCAGACACCCTGGTTGGGTGTGGCTACTGTTTTATTCTTTAAAAACAAAACAAAACAAAAAAAGAAACAAAAGAAAAGAGAAAAGACATTACAATCTAAGGCCATTTGAATATTGATGAGGGGACAAACAGAACTCTATTTGGTATTAGCCAAAAGACAAAGAGCAATCATAAGCAAAACTATGGGTAAATTCACTGTGGCTTGTAGAAAAAGTCCTCAATTATTCTCTTTTTGACTGGTTATTGGAAGAAGCTTGCTGAATAAAATAAAAAGCTTACCCGGCCTCCATACTGTAGCATTGGTGCTGGAAGTACCCTGCCTGTGAGCTCTGTCATTTCATTGTGGACAACAATACCAAATTCTTTAAGGTATGGATCAGGTCCACCCACCATGCTGTTACTCTTCACCTAAAGGACAGGAAAGCCTGCATATATAAAAACCAAAGAGTAACTGTGTCCCATCAGTAGTTTTTCTTCTTTTCCATGTTAAAGCTAGCTTATCTTAAAGACCATGCCTTACTGACCAGTCTACTGATTTCTTCCTGTCGGTCAGGGGCAGATCTTGCTGTGGCTTTGATCATCGTGGAAGTCTGATTGTCTGTAAGTTTCTTTATACATCGCTGTCCAGCCACTATATTACAGACCTGCCAAGAGGCAAAGAGAAATTTAGTTTGTGTAATGGGCTTCTATATATTAAGCCTTTGCCAAACTCTATGTTACATCTTCCGTTTTCCCCAAGATGAAAATTCTGTTAGTCAGCCCCAAATATCTCAGAAATTAATTCTAAATTCTACTGCTCGTTTAGACATGACTTTTATTTTTATTTTTTTTTAATTTATTCAAGAAATTGGCAGGTTGGCAAAAGAAAATTTACCTCAAGTGGCAAGTATGTATGCTTTTGTTCTTGTCCCACTTGGAGACAGGGAAGATGAGGATATTTCAGCTGCAGGCTATACTTTTGCTTAAAATATTGAGCTACAGTACATTCCATGGCTTGACCATTTTCTAGCTGTAAAGGAAAACTATAAGAGACAACGTCTTTTTAGAAATTTCAAGTTCTTTTTTCTGAAACAAGCAAACAAACAAAAATCTACTAACATTTTCTACCTTGATCAGTCACTTAAAAACAAAGGTCAATCTTTATTTGGATATTTTCACTTAAGTCATTTTAGTATTAAACACATCTGTGATTATGCTGGAATTTTCCATGTTTTCTTAAAGCTAAAATGAGAAAATAATTTAATTGAAGCTTTAAAAGAACTTAAAACAAGAAGAAGCTGCAGAATCAGAAATTACATAGACTTCTCAGAGGTCAGTTAACACCTACAGACACAAACTGGTGGTGGATTCTTGTAGATAGGAATTTTGTTTGCTTAGGAGAATGTTTTTATAAAAGGAGTGTAGCATAGTTATTGGGCCCACATTTTCAGATCCCTAAACCAGGACAAATGTCTGTAGATTTGGAGGCAAAAAGAACCAATACATGAAATTGAAACTAAACTAGGATATTTGGTATAAACTAGGGAGAATGGCCCAGCCAGTGTGGCTCAGTGGTTGAGCATCAACGAATGAACCAGGAGGTCATGGTTCCATTCACAGTCAGGGCACATGCCAGGTTGCAGGCTCTTTCCCCAGTGGGGGATGTGCAGGAGGCAGCTGATCAATGGTTCTCTCTCATCATTTATGTTTCTATCATTCTCCCTTCCTCTCTGAAATCAATAAAATCCTCCTATATAATAAAAAGCTAATATGCAAATCGACCAAATGGCAGGACTGGTCATTATGATGCACACTGACCACCAGGGGGCAGATGCTCAATACAGGAGCTGCCCCCTGGTGGTCAGTGCACTCCCACAGGGGAGCACCACTCAGCCAGAAACTGGGCTCAGGCTGGCAAGTGCAGCAGCAGTGGTGGGAGCCTCTCCCACCTCAGCAAGCAATGCTAAGGATGTCTGACCGCAGGCTTAGGCCCGCTCCACATGACATCCCCCAAGCACTCCCAGATTGCAACAGGGCGCAGGCCAGGCTGAGAGACCCTTCCTCCCCTGAGTGCATGAATTTCATGCACCAAGTCTCTAGTAAATAAAAGACAAACTGGGGAGCATGGTTTAATAGTTTTCTCACTAGAAGAGCCAAATTCAGAGCCTATCTCAAATACTTGGCACAATATTTTTTAAAAATATATTTTATTGATTTAGAGAGAAAGGCAGAGAGAGAGCATGAGAGAGAAAGAAACATTGAACTCCCAACCTGGGTATGTGCCCTGACTGGGAATTGAACAAGTGATCTTTTGGTGCACAAATGACAATCAAGCAACAGAGTCACATTGGCAAGGGCACTTGGCACAATAACTTTAATCTTGCTTTCTTAATTGTTACAGCCCCACAAAATAACAATGCAGTAAGGATCGTATATCAGGGGTGGGGAACCTTTTTTAGCCAAGGGCCATTTGGATATTTATAACATCTTTCACAGGCCATACAAAATTATCAACAAAAATTAGCTGCTATACTTGGCCAAACATTTAATTCACCCTTAATGCCTTGGCAGGGTCAGACCAAATTATTTCTCAGGCCTTTTATGGCTCGCAAGCTGGATGTTCTCCCCGCCCCCCCCCCCAATCTATGTAAAACTCATATAACTCTCCTGGTCCAAATTCAGAACTTCAGTTTATATTATCTCACTGATCACTTCAGGGCAATTAGGCATCTATGTCAAAGGAGGACATTACTTGTTAAGCCCCAGGTAGATCCAAGGATGTTTATATTTCTAGATTAAAATCAGTGCACTAATGGAAAATAAATCTGTGTTTGAAACAGTTTAGAGGTAAATCTTATTTGATATTGCAAAATGGAGAAGGAAAACATTGCAACAATGACATTTTAATTATTGTTAAAGGTTCACAGTCTATTCTGTAAGAATATGTTGTACTAAAAACTGGTAGCCTTTTGCAGATTCTAAAGTCTAAGTAATAATATAAACAAAATTAAAAGTTAATTCCCTTGAAAAAAGTTTTAAAAAGGCTCCGGTAGCTCGCCGTGATTGTATAGTGGTTAGTACTCTGCATTGTGGCCGCAGCAACATCGGTTCAAAAAAAGTTTTAAAAATAAATCTACATGCTTTTAATTTTAGTGCAAAACTTATATAGGTCTGTAAGTATAATTATTCTTACAGGGTTATGTAAAATAATCAAACAATAAAAAAGACAGTTCCTCTTGAAATACATGCTAAAATTCTCAATAGTAATTTCATAAGATTTTGATAACTTTTTTGAGAATGAGGTCAATGATATACTATTAAGAATACAGTAAATATCACTTTACAACTCTTAAGAAATACATGTCACATGTACATTAGTTCATACTGAAGAAGTTATTCAAATCAGACTGAATTAACATACCCCCTTTATCAGAGGTCACCCAAAAACTTTATCTAGACCAAAGGTCTCCAGGTAGTTTTGATGTGCACTAAAGTTTACAAATCGAGAACCATGGATCTAAAACAAAGTCAGAGTAGAATATAAGCAAAAACATTTAAAAATTTCAAAAGGCTTCTGAGTAACCAAAATAATGTAAAGTTTATCTATTTATTTTTAAGTTTATACATTTAGGTTCATGTTGTTTACTTAAAAGAGACAACATTTATGTTTATGTCAGATATGAGTGTAGTGATATAAATTATAAGAATAAAACTTACATATATGGTGATATAAAAAACACTTTGATATATGTTTTCTCATAAGGCAAAGTTTGCAATGAGTTAGAAATTGAATGATTAGAAAAATAAGATTGGGAAAGTGAAAATGAGTGTGCTGCTGCAGGCATGCCACATACACTGACAGCTGGAGGAAGTGACAGCTAGGTACAAAAGGAGGGAGAAAAACCCACACAACTTTGTAAACTGAAAATAAGTTTCAACTATGACTTACGGCCTTAATAGAACCTTTGGGCCATTCATTGAGAATTATAACAGTATAATAAATGATGCTTATAACGATAATATTCTGCATCATTATGTAAAAGTTGATCTATGCGTAGCATAATCTGTTTAAAGTTGAAATGAATTAAAGGCAAGAAATATATATAAAAAAATTTTTTAAATATTTTTTAAACCTTTGGTGTTTAAACATGAAAATCTTGGCGATTTTGAAAAAATCACAATATGAGATACCAATTCCTCAAATGATGATAGTAGCTTCCTCTGTTACCAAAAATGTAATGTTATCATCTATACTAATAAAAGGGTAATATGCTAATTAGGATGGGTGACCAGACATCTTCTGGACTTCCAACTTCCTTTTGGAGAGTTAGGGGGTGATGAGGTCAGCAGGCAGGCAGGCAAGTGGTTAGGAGCCCCAGGTTGCAAGAGGGATCCCTGATTGGAGAGAGTGCAGGCTAGGCTGAGGGACACCCCCCCTCAAATTTTGTGCACCAGGCCTCTAGTTGTGTATATTAACATACGTTTGATGACTGGCTGGCCGTCTGGTCACATTACAAACTCGGTATTTTCGCTTCATCTGTCCACAGTGAGTCACCTCAACTTTAAGACCTGAAGTTGAAAAAAAAGTTAAAACATCAGTATTAATAAAATCACAGTGATAAAAACAGATTCAAATGTCTTCAGAAAGGCATGCCATCGTACAGGACATACATTGCAAGGTTGCAAGAACACTTTCATCAAGTATAGACAAAAAGTCTCAGCTAAGCAGAAAATATTAGAATCCAGATGACTTAAGTTTTATAACCATTGTAATTTATTACTTCAATACATAATTACTAAGCATCAATTATGTTCTGGTGTTAATGAAGCTTATATTCTAGTGAGAGAAGATAGCTAATAACAAACAAGAAAATAAATTCCAAAAGGAAAATAAATAAACTTGTGTTAGTTTATTAAAGTGGAGGTTTTTAAATGAGTAAGGATAACAGTTAGTAAATGTCTGATAGGTGCCAGGTATTATGCCAGAAGCTTATACGTCTATTTGCATTTAATACTCACAATGATCTTACAAGTTATAGTACCTTAGAGATGATTAATCTAAGGCTCACAGTGGTTAAGTAACTTGCCCAAGGTTCCAGTGATAGAACTTTCTGGGATGGGATGGAAGCCCAGGTGAATCTGATTCCAAGACCATGCTCCTTGCACCAGGATGAACGGCCTTTCCAAGACTAATCTAATGCAAATACCTACCTCTGATTTCTTTGGTAAACTTGACACGCTGGGAGTCTGTTAGAGGTTTGGTCTGTTCGTTGATATTCTGAATGTCTAAAACCTCACACATAAACTCAATGATAGGCTGAGCCCGGTAGAAAGCAGTTGCAGATACTAACAAACAGAGAGGGAGGATACTTAGCTTCAGGGAAAGGGACAGGATTAAGAAAACCAGCCAAAAGACTAAATGGTAAAGACAGTTCCATCCTACCATCAATATTGAGCATCATATTCCACATGGCAGGTCTTACAGACTGATGAAAGCCAAACCAAACCTCCCTGCCCCCTCCCAGGGGGTGGTAGTAACCTTCTGGAGGTGAGAAAAAGGAACGGCCCACTGGAGTGTACCTGAAGGAATAAGAATTTGCATGTTTCACAATAAGAACTTGTCTTTGTACACTGAAACCAAGTTTAAACTATGGCTTATACAGAAAACATTCAATAGCTCTAATGCAAAGCATCAGATAAAGGTCTGATATCTGTGGCAAAGAATTCAAACTAAGGTACTAACCTCATGGAGGGGAGGTGTCTTGTAATAACATCAAGTGCTTGTACTGAGTCATCTGGGACTTCATTCAAGTGCCCAGCTAAAGCTTCTAAAAGCATCTGAAGGCTCACAACGGACACCCACTGAACAGACACTTTAAAGGTTTGGTCTTTACCCTCACCCGGAAGGGTCACTTCCATATCAACCTAAGGAAAAATACAGGTACGTGCATATTTACAAAGGCTGAGAGAAAGGTCCCAGAAGTATTCAACATAGTATACGCATAAAGACATTTTACACTTCTGTAATTGCAAAACATTGGAAACAACCTACATGTCCATCAGCAGGGGAATATTTTAATACTAAATATGATGCAATAGTTTAAAAATAAGGTAGATGCTACAAAATGTATGACTCTCAAAAAACATTATGCTAAATGAAATAAGCCATACACAAAATGACAAATATTGTGTGATTCCACTTAGATGAAATGTACCTAGAATAGTCAAATTCATAGAAACAGGAAGTAAAATAGTGGTTACCAGAAACTGGAGGAGGAGGAAATGGGGAGTTATTATTTAATGGGTACAGAGTTTCAGTTTGGGATGATGAAATATTTTTAGAGATGGATAGTGGTCATGATTGCACAAAATGTGAATATACTTACTAGTAATGCCATAGACTTGTACATGTAAAAATGGTTAAAATAGTAAATTTTATATTATATACACTTCATCACAATAAAAATTTTTAATAAAAAAAATAGTAAGATAGATTTAAATGTACAGAAATGGAAAGATTTCCTAGGCCTATTATTAAATGGAAAAATACATCAGATCAATATGCAAATAAATAATAATGTACATAAATAAATGCCTAAATAGCTAATGCACATAAAAACATCTGAAAGGATACACACCAAGCTATTAGTTTCTTCTGAAAAGGAAAATGGGATTGAGGACAGGTGGGGAGTCAGGAAACCACAGCATTTCTAGGTTGTCTGAATAAGTTTATAATGAGTATACAGTTGCATATTGCTTTTCTAATTTTAAAAATAAGTATTTAAAAAAGTTACTGTGAATTATATGAATTGCTGAAGGGGGTTCTTTCGGAAGAGAAAGAAAATAAAGATAAAAATTATGAACAACAAATACATAACTATCAACAAATGAATCTAAAAACCAAGGGAATTAAAAAACCTGATGAACAATATTAATTGTTGAATATAATAGAATCAGAGGTATGGAAGGGGAGTGGACTGATGATTCTCAGGGAAAGGAGGAATGGGGGGTGCGGGAAGAGACTGAACATAAACTGTGCATCTATGGATGAGGACAATGGGGGGTGGGGAAAGGGCAGAGGGTGGGGTAGAAACCTGGTGGAGGGGGGAAAAATGAGGAACTTCTGTAATAATATGAACAATAAAGGTTTATTAAAAATAAATAAATAAATAAATAAATAAATAAATAAGTTACTGTGGTATTATGAATACTTTCATAAGTGGGTGCTATACAACATGCTACAATTTATAAAAACTCCATTGTTCAGATTCAGATAGAACTTTAACAATGTGAGAAATCTGGAATATGTGTAAAGATGGTGCAGTTAAATTAAATTCTTTCTAATGCTCATCTCATTCAATTCTAATGCTCATAATTATCGATTAACTAAGGGACAAGACAATATGGACAGAAAGACCTATCATCACTATGAGAAACAACTAAGAATTGAATGATTAGAAAAGGAAACATTTTTGTCCTATGCAATTACTACTACATGTTAAGTTTAGTAAACATTTCTTGCTGTTAACACTTACCCTATCCCGTCCAATTGGCAGTGGATGTGCTGTGTACATGTTTCTTTTGCCATCATAGCCAGGCTGTCGATCACCAAATATCTGCATCTTGAAGTGCCGCACCATTGTATCTACTACCTCCCTTAACGGTAATGGAGATAGTGGAGGTTAGCTTTGAAAAATGGCGAATGGTAAGGAAACTATCATCATACCTTACTCATCTAAATTCAGTTCAAAAGCCCTTAGAAAATATAAGCGTTAGAGTGACCACTGATTCACTAATTAAAAAAATTGCTAATAGGCCCAGCCAGCATGGCTTAGTTGTTGAGTGTTGACCTACGAACCAGGAGTCACCGCTAGATTCCAGGTTGGGGCACATGCCTGGGTTGTAGGCTCAATACCCAGGGGTGAGCAGGAGGCAGACAATTGATGATTCTCTCTCGTCATTGAAGTTTCTATCTCTCTCTCCTTCTCCTTTCCTCTCTGAAGTCAATAATATATATATATTTAACAGCAACAAGGAAACACAAGCAACTCCAAGATAACAAAAGGGAGGTATAGAAGGAAAGAGATAAAACTGATGATATCCTCTCACACTCCTGCTTTCCAAATTCTTCCCCTATGATAAACATAGCCTTATAAGAAAGAATAGCCTCTCTTAGGTATCTAAGTATAGCAAGTTCATAATTGAACTAGAGGCCCAGTGCATGAGTTCGTGCATGGGCGGGAGCCAGCTGGCCCGTCCCACACTGCCCGCCCCAATTGGGCCAACTGGCAGGTTAGCTGGGAGGAGGGGCTGTGGGCGGTTGGATCAGGGTGGGGGGGTCTAATTGGGGGTGGGGCTGGCTGGGTGGGCCTAGGGCAGTTGGCTGGTCCCACTCCCTGGTTGAACTCCCAGTCGAGGGACAATCTGCATATTAGCCTTTTATTATATAAGATGATAAGTTTGTGTCAAATATATGTCCTTATTCAAGTATACTAGTTTTGGAAAAGAAAGTGAGCAGAAATTCAGAAACCTAAGGATCAATAAATCTAAAATGCATCATTCTCAAAGAAATAAGTTGACCCCTTTGACTAATGCTGGCTATTTATAATTCTTCAGACTGTCTTGTTTTATTCCAAAGCTCTCTCAAGCATTGTAGAGAAGGGAATGTTGTGAAATATCCTCATTCCTAAAGGTTACCAGTGTATTTTCTTCCCTTTTAGCATGAAAGCCTTTCTCTCAATCAAGCATGTATAGCTTTTCTTAAATGTTCATGCATATATGCCAGATCACACTGAATCCAGGCCCTGAAATAAATGCAGTATGCAGTTTAAGAAGGAGTCTGTGAGATTTTGGAATGCTAGAATCAATGAAAAGTTGGGTGCTGCATCTTACCAATGTTAGTGATAGCAAGAGCATCCATCCTTAAAAAGCAAGAATCTTAATATTAAAGAGTATTTGAATATCAAAGTATGGAAACAGAGAAAAGGAAAGTGGGTGTTCTTAGCACCTTGTAAGAATATCTACTACAGGACTATGACTTCATACTTGGTAAATACTTAAATCCACAATACTTAAATCACCTTATCCAGACCCCTCTTGGGTAATGCTGGAATTAAACAGAACTTCTCTCTCAGCTTACTTTGTTCTATACTCCAAGATGATCCATATTTTTCTCATGTCCATTACCAACACTTAATAATTACACATATTTTCCTCATGTCCATTACCAACACTTAATAATAAAATTTGAACTTCCAGGTAGTTCTATTTCCCATCAACACTAATGTCTTCACCTTTTATAAATTTCTGCTACCCTTGGACAATGAAATAGTGACCTCTCTTCTTCCTTCAATAAGTATTTACTGACTGAACAATGATGCATCCAGCACTCTGCTAGAATCTGTGGAGGATAACAAAGTATGAGACAGCAAAGGAACTTACCTTAGAAAAAAACAAAGCCTGCATGCTGAAAGAATTAGAGAACGGTACGATACACAATAAATAAGTTATATGCATTGGTATGGAAGTCTAGTCTTTCTGATCCTTACCTGTTGACTCTACGAGGCCGTTTTTCTGGTTTAATATCCACATCATAGTGATACACATCTATTTTAGGAATCTGAACCTGAAAATGATTGGCTAACAGTCGAATTGGTTTTCCAACAGTTCCAAGGCCAGGACGACGAGGTGGCTGGAACAGGCTGGTCGGAGGTCCTGAAGAGATGGAAAGACATTCAATGTGCTACTTGGTCCTGAAGGATACTATTCCCTTCATGACGATGATGATGATTATAGCTATGATGAACAAGGTCATATTATTTACTAAACATAATATGATGTAAAGAGTTTGGGGTGTCTTTTGACCTAAGGTTCTCTAGATTTCTAATATTTTACCATGCTGCCATTATTCTGAATATGAGGAACATCAACATGAGATAGTATGATGAACTCCTCTCAGATGTCAGCTACCATAGAAAAACCTTTTATAAACATTAGTAGATCTATATATAGATAGGCTCACACAATTATATGCATTTTTATGGGTACCATCATCATGTTTGGGCTGGAGATGATCCACTAATCTTCCACAAATTAGCGTACATTATGGTAAATTGTATGGACAGGTGGAGGTTAAACAGCAGCTATATTTATCAGTTTACTTACTAATTTAGATAGTGAAACAATACCAATAATGTTAAATCTCCCTGTTTATAACCTGATATCTTTAGAATCTGTGCAATCTGATATTTCCTGATCATAAGGTCTAGTTTATTTATTTATTTACCAAACATTGATTCATGATTACATGTCTAATCTGCACAGTGGACTCAGGAAAAAGACAGCCTCTGCTTTCAAGAACTCACAGTCTAAACCAGTAGTTCTCTACCCATGGGAGATTTTGTCCCACAGGAAACATGTGGCAAATGTCTGGAGATATTTTTAATTGTCACCTTTGGGGGGGAGGGAAGAGTGCTACTGACATGTAGGTTTGGGGAAACACAGTCTGGGAAATATTTGTCTAGAAAAAAACCTTATTTCTTTTTTATGATAATGTCAAGTGGACACGGGCCTACAAAATATACATCTTTCCTGCTATAGGTGTTCAGTAAAGTGAGCTATGATTACAATGGAAAGTTACAACAGGTTCTTTTATTGCAATGGCATTTTGCCAAGAACAAAGACAATTCACTCAGGAAAGAAAACATTAATGCAAGAAGCTGTGAGGTCCAAGATCACTTAGGAACACTTTAATGAAATCTGTGTTGACAGATCACCATATACTAATTCTTCAAGTACTGAAATATTTTCACATATTAAATTCATTATTCATTCATCCCCTAAATTCTACTCATCTTTCAAAACCCAGGCCAGGTGTAACCTCCTTGGAAAACCTTCAGAATCTCCCAGGCTGGATGCATCCTCTTTGTTCCCAAGACGCTCTGTATAAGGGAGCACTTGGAACAAGCACATGGAAATAACCTGCTAAATGACTCGGCCTCCTCCGCTAGACTGTGAACTTAGAAGACGTGGACCTCCAGTTCATTGTTATCTCCTCAAGACCTAATTCAATGACCGGAACATTGTAGAAATTCAACAAATGTTGAACTGATCACTTGTAGCAGTTTCAAATAGAAACTAAAGAGAGACCCAGTCATTCCTAAAACCCAAGAACTGGCAATTATTTTTCATTAAAACATAATTTATCCTAAAAATATTATTATTGCTTAGAATAGAGTTCCACCTCTGGTGTACAAGGGGATCTACTCTGGGTATGATAAGATATTTACAAACAAAGTAAGCGATAATGAATAAATAAAATCAGAGGTGATAGGCACACGGAATCAAATCATAGATAAGTCAGCTATGCATATCCCAACATACACTTAAGCAATCATTATGTCATAAAGTAGAATTAAATCCAGTTTGATGATAGAAATTTGGGTCAAATGACATATGACTTTGATTTTCAAATATATTTTATTGATTTTTTTACAGAGATAAAGAGAGAGGGATAGAGTCAGAAACAACGCTGAGAGAGAAACATCGATCAGCTGCCTCCCGCTCACTCTGTATGGGGTATGTGCCCGCAACCAAGGTACATGCCCTTGACTGGGATCGAACCTGGGACCCTTGGGTCTGTCTGCAGGCTGACGCTTTATCCGCTGAGCCAAACCGGCCAGGGCATAACTTTGACTTTATTTATTTATTTATTTATTTATTTATTTATTTATTTATTTATTTAAAATATATTTTATTGATTTTTTACAGAGAGGAAGAGATGGACAGAGAGTTAGAAACATCGATGAGAGAGAATCATCAATCAGCTGCCTCTTGCACACCCCCTACTGGGGATGTGCCCACAACCAAGGTACTTGCCCTTGACCAGAATCAAACCTGGGACCTTTCAGTCCGCAGCCCGATGTTCTATCCACTGAGCCAAACCGGTTTTGGCATGACTTTGATTTTAAATTGTGACTACAATCCAGGTCCAGCGCCTTTTCTTCCCCAATGGTATTTTTGCCTCTCTAAACTACTTGATGCCAAAGGGACAGAGGCAGAGGAAATGAAAGAAAAGGGATTAAGAAGTGGAGAAAAGCAAATAGCATGCTTCTTTTCTTTGGCAAGAAAGAAAAGTCAGAAGGTGACTGATCATTTCTTTTAATAAGTTTAGAAGACTTATTTAGAAAACTATATTCTAAAATTTTCCACTCCAAAAGCTGGTTTCTCTGAGGTTAGCAAACTACTTATAAAGAAAAAACAGTGGCTATAACTCTGGCACTAAACTGCCTGGGTTTCAATTCTGTTTATCACTCCCTACCTGCATGACCTTGGGCCTCTGTGCCTCAGTTTTTTTATCTATAAAATGGGGACTATGTGGTAACTATAGCATCTATCTTTTAAGGTTATTTTGAGAATCCCGTGAAATAACATACATAGAGGCTTAACACAGTGTCTCATAATAATAGTAAGTACTCAATAAATGTAGGTTAGTAGATTGTACCTAGTTAGTAGATTGTATCTGCATAAATATTACAGTGCTCAAAGGTGCCTGGGCTTTATATTGGGGGCATCCCCAACATTTGGTGACAAGTCTAATAATTACACCTTCTAAAAAGGAAACAACATAGATTGAATAAAGTTAGCCTTAAATGACCCAGACTCATCATCATTTCACCACTTTGCATCTCGTTTCTCATCTGTCAAATGGGGATAATGCCTGCCTTGCCCACCTCACAGAGGATCAAATGAGCTAATAGCTATGAAAGCACTTTCCAAACTGTGAAGCACTGTAAAAATAAAAGTTATCACTACTATAATCAAAACAAATGGTATTCTAATTAAATATATTTCCAAGTTATTATTGCCAGAAACCAAAATGGGGTGAGGGCAGAGCAGAGCAAAACTAAGAAGGCGCCAATGATTACTGAAGTGAGGAGGGCACGGAGCTCTCGATCGGCTTGCTTTAACAAAGAAGCAGGAAAGCTTCTCTAGGTTCTAAAGCAGCCTGGGCGAAATATCCCACAAGACTACCAACTCCCTTTGCTCTGATTCTATGCTTGGCATGCAGCTTCTTGTTATTAATTTGGTTTCCAAGATACTGTGCCACCAAAAAAGGAGCTTGCTAGAGGACCGACAAGAAAATATTCCAGTCAACAGAAAAGATCTATGTGACATTTTGGCTTATTCTTGAGCATCTTCTAAATGTGGTCAGTGAGAATTAATTTTCCATAATCCTGGGTGAACTTATTGATAGGTCCTTAAAGCTTCGAAAGCTAAAATCAAACAAACAAACAAACAAACAAACAAACAAAAAATCCCTGGACGCTCCTTCCAACAGGTTGATCTTTTCCATGAAATTCAGTATGTACACACAATTACATAGTCTCTTTCAATACCAGCTCATATATGCAACAGTTGCTTCAATTATGAGTTACTAGCAGGGGAGGGAGGGCAGAACATTTGTAAGTATCTCAAATGCATTGGTCTCTTCTACAATAAGACTTCTCACATACATTATCTCATTTCAGTCTCACAACAATCTGGCAGCACATTATTATTATTACTTCATTTTATTGGCGAGGAAATGAAAGTTCAAAGGAATTAAGTAACTTGCCCAAGGTTATACAACTATTAAATTACTAGATTGGATTCGAACAGAAGTCTGTTGCGTTCCAGAAGGCTTGGTCATGCCTTTAGCCAGAGGCGATAGCTGAAGTAACCCTGCATAACACTCACTCTGAGGTTTACCAAATAATATTAATGTTACAAAAGCAATTTATTTTTAAAAGGCATGTGAAATTTTATTATAAAGGCTTTAAAAAATAGTTTAAGCAGCCAATTAAGGTAAAATTAAGTTATTCAGTGATGTGAACAAGTTCTAAGGGGGGAAAAAAAAAGCCTACAAAGTTTCTAAACTCAAACGGTAAAGTGAATATTCTATGCACCAAAGAAAAAATGAAAAGCTCTACAACTAAGTCCGCTATGTAGACAAAGTTGGATATTAAAATTAATTCTATCACAGCCCCTATACCCTGCCCTTCTTAGCCGAAGTTATTAGAAACCTGTTGGGGGTGGAGGTGAGAGCACCAGGCTGCAGTCTGTAGGCCACTTGTTACATCCTGGAACGCTTCCTCAGGTTAGGGCAGAGTGGGAGAGAAAGCCAGAAGCCATTCACAATGATAGGAAATGACAGTTTCCAAAGCACTTTCTCCTTTATTTGATCCTCGCAACCACTCAGAACCCAGTTAGAAGAGAATTCAGCATCAAAGCCTGTGCTGGAGCGGCTGGCTGCTAACTCGCCTGTCAGTCACTCTGGGACTGTCACACAGGCTGACATAATCCTGGGTGAACTTATTGATAGGTCCTTAAAGCTTCAAAAGCTAAAATCAAACAAACAAACAAACAAACAAACAAACAAAAAATCCCTGGACGCTCCTTCCACCAACAGGTTGATCTTTTCCATGAAATTCAGTATGTACACACAATTACATAGTCTCTTTCAATACCAGCTCATATATGCAAAGGACCTTATTCCCTGAGACTTCAGGGACTTCCAGAAAGGGTGAGCACTTTGCCCCTTGGCCTTCGGGGCATGGGGTATTCCTTATCTAAGGATCTGGACCTCTGCCAGTTCAAAACAAAATAGGACTGCAGCCCCAAATCAAGAATACCCTTAGCAGGAGGTGAGAGACCTTCGGGGTCCCGTCCAGGCCAAATCTTCGCAGAGTTCAGGCACAAATCGTCCCTTCGGAGGCCCAAATTGGCCTCATCTCAACCACCTCCCTGAGGTTGGGTCAGGTCTCCCCTCTACCTGGGGCGCAGGTCACCTTTCTGGGCCTCCCGCCCTCAGACATCAGAGATCGGGCTCCTCTCTCCAAGCTGGGGCGCGTCCCCGCCCCCGGAGGCCCGGGTCAGCTTCCTCCGCCTTGTGCAATGGGGCACCGGTCCCGTTCCCCAGGGCCTGACGACCCGAACCCGGGGAGGGTGCACGGGAGCCGACCGGGGCGACTGAGAGCGACGGTCCCGCCCGCCCACTCGTCAGTCCCGGGCCCTAAGCCGGCCCGACCCGGGCGCGCTCACCTGGTCCCAGCGCCTCCATGGCGGCGGCGGGGGCCGCCTCGCCCCGGTCCCCGGCGCCTCCCGCTCTGGGCCCCGCCGCCGCCGCGGAGCGTTTGATCTCCGGAATCTTGGCGCTGAGGAGGGGCGCCGCGGGGACGCGGGCGCTGGGCGGGGGGCTGCGGCGGTGGCGCCCGGCCCGGAGACAGGGACCCGGCTCCCTCGGCTCTTCCGGCCTCAGCGACAACAAAAACAATCCCCGCCGCCGCCGCCGCCAGCCGGAGCGGGCGCGGGAGCCTGCGCGCGCCCGGCGGGTGGGGACGGGGCGCCGGGCGCGGGGCGCGCACCGTCCGGGGTCCGGGGTCCCGGCTCGCAGAGGGGGCGTGCGCGGCCCGGGGGGCCGGGTCCACCGAGCCCTGCGCGGGGGGCAGGGGGCGTGGCTTGGGACCGGGCGTGCGCGCCGGAGGGGGCAGTGCCCCGAGGACGTGCCGTGTTCCTGTGTGCGCGCGCGCTCGCCCGCACTGCCCTGCCAGCCCAGGACGGCCATCCCGGGCACACGGCTTGGAGGGGCTGCGTGCCATCTTCCCAGAGCCGTTGCTGCCACAGTGTCCTCGAAAGATCAGGATTCCAGACCCCGCTGGTCCACAGACACAGCCTCCGCTCTGCCCGTGAAAGTGTCCTGAGATACACACACTGGGCACCTCTCCCTCCTCCCACCTCAGACCACTTCTTTTTCCTCTGTCAGCGTTCCCTTTCTCCACTGTCGCGGGACAGAGAACACCAGTCACCACAGATGCAGCACTTTCCCGCCGTTTCTTCATCCAACACCGTGTGCCCAGTTGCCCTTCCCTCCAAGTGCAGCCAGGAAGCACCACGGAATAGACCATGATGAATGATGAATGATGCATTCATTCTCTCATTGGTCCCATGACAAACGCCTGGTCAGCAAGTCACTCAAAACAGAAAAGTCTTGCTTTCGCTAATGACTTCACCTTAGCAGCCAAGAGCTAAAGGAGCAGGGTCCTTGGGAGTCATGGTCAGCTCAGCAGGCCCAGCCTCTTTGGGGCTTTTAATTGGAACTTTGAGTTGGAGAACACAGGACTACAGGTCAACAAGCAGTTCCTAGTCAGCAAAATGGGGGAGCTCTCTGTCCACTAGTTTAAAAAAGGCAGTGTGCCCAGCAGGTGTAGCTCAGTGATTGAACATCCACCTATGAACAAAGAGTTCAGGGTTCTATTCCCGGGAGGGGTTGAGGCTGGATCCTCAGTGGGGGGGCATGCAGAAGGCAGCTGACCAATGATTCTCTCTAATCATTGATATTTCTATCTCCCTCTCCCATAATGGATTAGGGTCTACTTTCACTTAATTGCCTCTTTGTTTTAACTGAATTGCCTCTTTAAAGACCTTATCTCCAAATACAGTCACATTCTGAGGTACTGAGGATTAAGATTTCAACCTGTGGGTTTTGGGGGTTGGAGGGAGGCCCAATTCAGCCCATAACATGTGTAGTGAGCTATTCATTTGAGCATCCACAATGTGTAGCCATATCGGCAAATAATATTTGTATGTAATGATAAAAAACGTTAGGGGCATACCACGGTCAGGCACTGTATTACGGGCTTCACAGGCCACTGAATCTTTGTAGCCACCTATAAGGCAGATAGTATTAAGGAAAGTGAGGAAACGGAAGCTCAGGGGAGTTAAGGATGTCAGGCTCTGCATTATATGATAGGACAGTGAAGCATGAAAAAATTGGGGGTTCTATAACCTGCATTCTAATCCTGCTGATTCCATCCCTGCCTGGGTATAACATTGGGACTTTTAACCCAGTGACTTGATTCTACTCCCAAATTCTTTCTATAGCATCATGCCATTTCTCTGTGAAACCAGATATTAACTGGAAAAAATAATAGGGGACAGAAAATTTGAAGAGGAGGAACTATGCACTAAATAGCAAACTAGTTTAGAGCTAAGAGGGTAAAAAAAATAAAAAAACAAGTAGAGGTCAAGTTCTGAGTGGAACCTAGCAACCATCTCCCTTCTTCTACACTTCAGGATAAATTTCCCCCACAGTGGAAACAGTGCTGGTGGCTTCCAGCCTGGTTTGAGGCTGCCTTTCCAGCTCCCACTTCCTAACAGAGTTTCTCCATATTCTGTCTGGTACCATGAGCAGAGACGGTAGCTTGTTTCCTGTACTGAAAATAGCCTCAGGCTGGGTATGAACTGTACTTACTCCAGTTTCAGTTGGTCTGCAATGCCTCAGTCTCTCAGCCTGTCATTCTTGAACACTCTGATCACTCACATTCTCACTCCAAAACTCACTCCCACTCAGGCACCCACTGCCCCCTTCCTGAAGACCCTTCTGACTGAGCTCTCCCAAACAAAGGTTTTAATAAGCACCCCTAAACCTCAGCCTATTCAGCGAGCCCTCCCTCCACTTCCTGCTGTGGCTGAGAAGAAGCAATGCCCCAGAATACCACTTCCCCCTCAGTTCCCTCTGATGGTGGCTGCTCACACCATACACATCTACAGGACAGGGTGGGGGTGGGTGGGTAGAGCACTGGCAACATATTTGGCCCATTACCTTGAGTTCTCAGTCTCCTATAAAAAACCACTTGTCACCCTAACCGGTTTGGCTCAGTGGATAGAGCATCGGTCTGTGGACTCAAAGGTCCCAGGTTCTATTCTGGTCAAGGGCATGTACCTTGGTGTGGGCATATCCCCAATAGGGGGTGTGCAAGAGGCAGCTGATTGATGTTTCTCTCTCATTGGTGTTTCTAATTCTCTCTCCCTTACCTTTCCTCTCTGTAAAAAAAACCAATAAAATATATTTTTAAAAATTAAAAAGAACACTTGGCTGTCTCTGGATGTTTTTATTCATGAGTTATGTTGTTCATTATATTTCAAAAAGGAGTGAGATTATGTGATATTTATCTTTCTCTGACTGGCTTATTTCACTTAGCATAATGCTCTCCAGTTCCATCCATGCTGTTGCAAATGGAAAGAGTTGATCAGTCCTTCAAACCTGGTAGAGGAGGGTGGAGGTAAGGGGGAGAGATCAACCAAAGGACTTGTATGCATGCATATAAGCCTAACCAATGGACACAGACACCAGGGGTGTGAGGGCATGAGTGGGAGAGTGGGGGAGGCAAAAAAGGGGGTAAGGACACATATGTAATACATTAATCAATAAAGAAAAAATCCAGATTAAAAAAGAAAAACTACTGTCATCTGGCTGAACCACCACAGGACCTCACTTGGTAGAGTAATTAACTCAGCTCCTGGTCTTATGTCTTAGTCCAGGCCTGGCTCCTATTACATTGTAAATTCTTTAGAGCAGGGCTTATGCCTTGTTCAGGTATTCAGGCTTGTGTCTCTGTTGCCTACCATATTTCCTGGCACCAAATGCCTACTCAGGGAAACTAATGGAATGAATAATGAATGAATGAGCAAGTTGTATAAACAGTGGGAACTAGATCTGGTCCAGTAGACGTAAACTTCCAGCTTCTCCAGGGCACAAATTTTATTATTTTTTTAAAATATATTTTTATTGATTTTAGAGAGGAAGGGAGAGAGAAAGAGAGCTGGAAACATCAATGATAAGAAAGAATCATCAATTGGCTACCCCCTACATGCTCCAAACTAGGGATAGAGCCCGCAACCCGGGCATGTGCCCTGATGGGAAATCAAATCGTGGCCTCCTGGTTCATAGGTCAACGTTCAACCAGTGAGCCATGATTTTAGAATCAAATGGTCCGGAGTTCAAATCCCAGTTTCACAATATACTAACTTCAAGTACCTGGGACAAGTCTCTTCACCTACTGCTTAAGGATGTCTTGAGGAAGTTAAATCATATATGTGCATATCCCTTTGTCTCTGACACAAAGTAAGTGCCCAGTAGTTACTAATCCTCTTCCCTACTCTCCTTTCCCATAGCTAAAAGCTGCCCACTCTGCTTTTGCTGTTCCTTGAGAGATAGTGAGCTCAAGATCTCAGCTCAGTACAAGAGAGGGGAGTAGACCCCAATCCAACCCTGGTCAGGGTGCGAGCAGGAGGCAATCAATTGATGTGTTTCTCTTACATTGATGTTTCTCACTATCTTTCCCTCTCTTCTTCTACTTTTCCTGAAAGTCAATGGAAAAATATCCTTGGGTGAGGATTAACGAGAAAAAAAAAAGGGGGGTGGGGGAGAGGTGGTCTAGAGCTGTCAAGGACAGAGCATGTTTACACATCCTGTGCGGAAGCCACCTGGGGACAAGGACTTGGCTCACCCACTGGGGAGTGAGAGCCAGGACCTGCTCCGTGAAGTTTATGAATGGAACTGAACTTTTCGAATGCTCCCCAGATAAAGCCAAAAGAAGCCTCGCTGGTGGATACTGTGCCAGAAGGCAGGGCTCCAGCCACCCACACTGCTTGTGACACTCCAATGCTTGTCTGGCCTGCTGATTTATCCATGTTCTGATTCAACAGTTTCTCCTTATACTAACTTTCCACAAATCTGGCGCCTGGAAGTTAAGGATAAACTTCTTTGCAGCTGATCTATCAGGCCAGGGTTTTCTTCTTCTTTAGCTGGGGACCCCGTAATTGAAAAGAAATCTTAAGTGGAAGCTGAAGAGGAGCCACTCTGGCTGAGGAGGACAGGGACTTGCATTAAACACAAATGAACTAGACCAACTTGCCAAGAGACACCGCCTGGCATCCAAATGAAATTTCTGTCCACCTGCTCCTATGCAATCACCAGCCTTGCTCTTGTTGTTGAGGATATACCATATTTTGCTTATCCACTCATCAGTTCATGGACATTTGGTTGTTACCACTTTTTGGCTATAGTACTAATGTTATGAACATTCATGTTCAAGTTTTTGTGTGCGTATGTTTTAAATTCTTTTGGGTGTGCCGTGCCAGCATAGCCAAGGGTTTGGCGAGCCTGAGCAGGGGGGGGACGAAGGATGGAGAAATGATAGACAAAGAGAAAAAGCTGGGTCTAGGTGGATCTTCTGTGCTTGGCTGAGGCCACAGAACAGATCCAGACTGCAAAGCTGA